GCCACCAAAAAAAAAAATTGTGTATGTCACTTTAAATTTTCGATTCTTTGATAGCTGTGGCCCTAAGTAACGATTTCTGTGTCCCTGAGTAACGATTCTGTGTCCCTGAGTAACGATTCTGTGTCCCTGAGTAACAATTCTGTGTCCCTGAGTAACAATTCTGTGTCCCTGAGTAACGATTCTGTGGCCCTAAAGTCTCTGTGGCCCTAACTCTGTCCCTCAATACACAGAGGTCTGTCTCTCTTGAATGACCGGAGGCTAATGGAGAATTCTAAGATGTCCGCGATTTATAGCTCCACCATTACACAGTGCTGGCTGGCTGGCTGCTGATTGGCTAATGCGATCACATGTCATGATTCATGACTCATGAATGCATTATGGGTCAGCGCGCCTTGTCTGCGTGCCTTCCCAGAGATCCCCGCCCCATCTTCTCTGTCCATTTTCTCCTGTCGCCACACATGTCGCCGCCATTTTTGGGAAAATTCGATTCGTGCATCCGAAGTTTGCTAATCTTCGGATTCGTCGCGAATAGAATTTTTCCAAATCTTCGGAACGAATTCCACTTCATCATGTTCGATTCGCTCATCTCTAATTGTTACCATTGTCTCCATGTGATCATCCCTCCCCCCCACACAAGCATGAAAACTCCCCTCCTGCCCCATCCTTGTTCTTCCCCTGATCTTAGGCACTCTGTTGGTGAGAAATCTGTGCTGAGTTGCGTGTGTGCACGGCCACTGGTGTTCCTTTTCTCCATGTGGGATTTTCCTATTTTATATAACGGCCAATGTAACAGCATATGCTGCACACAAGGGCAAGAAAGCCCATGTCAAGGTTGCAGAAGTCTCTGTTTAAGCCAGGGGCCTAACTAAAGCCCTCCAGGCTCCATCTGCACCTAAAATATCTCTTTTAGGTGATCTGATGCTGCTACCAAAATCATTAAATCCTCCCATTAGCTTTTAACATGATAATGGAAATTCAAATCATTTAATATATTTTTGTAAACCTGAAGGTTTTACTAACATAACACCTATTGATCCTGCCATGAAGGTCTTTTTTCAGGCTATTTTTGTTATCGTGTGACATCACTTGGTCTATGTATGTTAGGTTCCATTCACATTAGTGCGTCTCCAACGTCGCATGATTTCCAGTGCGACTTTAATGTGACTTTTGGCATGAATTGATCCCACCAAAGTTGTACCGAAGTAGTGTAGGCACCATTTCAAAATCGCTGTGACTTTAAGTTGCACCGATTTGAACGGGTGCCATTGAAAAGAATGGGCTGCGATTTGTCATGCCACTTTGAAGTCCAAAGTCGCTTGATAAGTCACACAAGTGTGAATGGAGCCTTAAAGTTCTACTAAAAGTTATTTTTTGTTATTATTAAAATAAAAAAAGATGTTATACTTGCTTGCTAGAGGTGCCCCTTACCTTCTCTTTTGCAGTCCCATGCCAGTGCTGTCTGCTCCTCCTTCCTCCGGGTGCTTCCTGTAGAAAGCCGAGTGCTAAAGAGGCACCCATGTGTGCGCACTCCTGAGTTGGGCTGTGTGCATCGATAGACACACACAGTGCCAGTAAGCCACGCCCCCTTGTTTCTCATGCTAGAAGTTTGACTGACAGCAGCAGAAACCATTGGCTCTCACTGCTCTCATTGTTTCCTGTGAGACCAGGACGTGAGAGAAGCTGTGATGCAGCAGAGACAGCACTGGAATTGTGACAGGAGTCAGGTAAGTGTTTTGGGATGGGGGGTGGGTAGGATAGGTGGTGGGGATTTTTTTGGATCAAAGTGAAAAACATGTTGAACTGTGCTCTTTAAGGCAGACTTTTTTAGAGTCTCAGCGGTTGATTTACTAAAGGCAAAAAGACTGTGCACCTTGCAAAGTGCATTCACACTCCAGAGCTTAGCAAATGAGCAGAAGCTTTGCTGACTTCCGTCATCCAATCATGTGTGAGCAAAAATGCTTTTTTTTTTTTAATTTTCCTTGCGCGTGATTGGGTATTCATTGCAAAATTAAGCTTTACCTCATTTACTAAGCTCTGGAGCAACTGCACTTTGCAAAGTGCACACTCTATTTGTCTTTAGTAAATCAACTCCTATGAGTGTACACTTCAGTACACATTAACCTCCCTAGCGGCCTGATTATGTCAGTATTTCTGTGCTCAAAGCGGTACATTTTTTTGCATGGAAATATGTTGTTTTTTTTATTGTAGGTCTGTAATTCTTAGGAATAACTCACTGAAATCTGTCCGAACAAGAGTCTAGTAAACATCCCAGGTATGATAGATTGTAAAAAACACGAAATCATAAATTATAATATAATAAATAATCATAAAAAAATAATAAAATAATACAAAAATTTAATTCAATAATATAATCAAACCAAAAACACTGAAATGTGAAATAGAGTGCCAAGTTCGCATATCGCTGAGCTCAGTCGCAGAATCGTTTTCAGTGCCTGATGACGAATTTCCCCACGAATCATGACTATTGCACTAGAGATAGGCTCGTCCACTTCCCCATTACCACCATTACCGTTCCGCACCAACCCCCTTCCCCTTAACCAATTATACTAACAAAAGACAGACACCAATTTTGGAGTAAATGGCCAACATGGCCTTTTATTAACAACTCAAGTTACAATACACCAACCATTCCTTATAACAGAAACCCAAAGAATTGTTGTTGGTCTTCGAAGGCACCCCAAACGATCCGAAATGCACCTGCGGACAACCATATACACTAGGCCTCCAGCCGCAACCAACCAGCTCGGAGACAACCATACCGTCCGCAGTGCAGCACCACCACCTTCCAGTTAAACCTCGGTTAACTGGGAATGTTCCCGGGCATCCCATACCACGGATGGGTCCCACACCATTGCTGTTTACCTTCCAAATAAGAACCGCCTCCAAAGACCAACAACCGCCCATGAACCAACATAATCCCCCCTCTACCTGGAGGGACCCAAAACTCACCCAAACATGGAGGGCGGGAGGGAACCTCACACTCCTGCTGTCCAGCTAAACTAACGCCCCCTCACAGAACCTCCCACCCTAAGGTGCAGCAAAAACCCCACCTACACCAACCTCTACCAATCATCTACCCCCCACTATCAAAACAAATCCCCCTGGAGCTAACCTTAACCCTTTCTGCTCCTCCTTCCCCCACTCTATTTCTTTTTTATTTTCGCTACGGGCATTTCTTTATCACTCAATTCTCAAGTAGTTCTAATTTACTATCGCTGTTCTCTAGCTGGTCTAAAACCACTTTTGACCTAAAGGGACGCTTTTTGGACACCATGGACGTTTCTCAGTTTCCAGGCAGAAAGAAAAGTAAAAATGCAGGCAGGGCACAGGACAAAGCACTAGGGACAAAATGTATGTGAAATGGTTTGATACAGTAATGTTATACTATCAGATTTTAGTGTATTGAGCGAATGTCAGATTTTTAAATTTTTTCATTTCCCGCCAGTTCCGCCCCCCATACGTCCCGTATGTCCCGACACTCGCAGGGAAGGGAACCCGGAAGACGGATGCCGGCATCGGCCGGAGGAGATGGCCGGAGATGCTGCAGGGGGGACATCGCGGGAGCTCAGGACAAGGTAAGTGCAGGAGGGATCCTAGAGTAACGCTGCAGTGTAATCCCTAGTGTAGCTCGGGGGTTACCGCTTCTGGTACTGAAAGTTAACCCTGAGCTACACTCGGGAATACCGCCAGAGGGGTTAAGTAATTGTGATCTACTGTTGTCACCATGAATAAAAACCTAAGAAATGACATGCATCTGATGGCAGGGTGCATGTCTGTATACAGAAGCAGCTGCAAAGGGAATGCTGAAGATGTGCAGCATGAGATACAACAAAGGATGAAAATCAATATTAGAAAATGGCAACTGCTTATAATACACAGTCCACAATGCAGGCAAAGCTTCATTACTAACAAGATGTGCTAGAGATTTGCCCATCAGAATGGCTAGGAGTTTTGGGTATTAGGCTACTACCCAAGGGGGGCGATTTACTAAAACTGGAGCACTCAGAATCTGGTGTAGCTGTGTATGGTAGCCAATCAGCTTCTAACTTCAGCTTGTTCAATTAAAGTGGTTGTAAAGGCCTATAATCTATAATCTGCATTGTAACTGCAAACAAAGACTAATAGCACATAATTCTATTTCAAACACATCTGACTCGGTGTGCTATTTTTAAAAGCTATAAATTGTATATTCTATACTGCACTGCACTCATGTAGTCACAGGAGAAAGAGATCACAAACTACTAGGAGAACAGAGTCCCAGAAGATTACGTAAACTCTTTCACACCCATCTCATATGATTTCAAACAGCTACAGTGGATATAAAAAGTCTACACACTCCTGTTAAAATGGCAGGTTTCTGTGATGTAAAAAAACAAAACAAAGATAAATCATTTAAGAACTTTTTCCACTTTTAACCACAAGCCTACAGGGCACTTATACCCCCTTCCTGCCCAGGCCAATTTCCAGCTTTCAGCGCTGTCACATTTTGAATGACAATTGCGCGGCCATGCAACACTGTACCCATATGACATTTTTATACTTTTTTGTGACAGATAGAGCTTTTTTTGGTGGTATTTAATCACCTCTGGGTTTTTTATTTTTTCTTAAACAAACCAAAAACCACTGAAAATGTTGAAAAAAAAATGTTTTTTCTTAGTTTTTGTTATAAAATTTTGTAAATAAGTGATTTTTCTCCTTCACTGATGTGCGCTAATTAGGCTGTAGTGATGGGCACTGATAGGCTGCACTGATGGACACTGATAGGTGGCACTGATGGGCACTGATGAGGAGGCACTGGTAGGTGGCACTGATGGGCACTGAAAGGCAGCACTGCATATATATGGCACTGATAGGCGGCACTGACTGGCACTGATAGGTGGCACTGACTGGCACTGTCAGGTGGCACTGACTGGCACTGTTTGGCGACACTGATGATAGGCAGCAGTGATGGGCACTGATAGGCGGCACTGACTGACACTGATAGGCGGCACTGGCTGGCACTGATAGGTGGCACTGATTGGCAGCACTGATAGGTGGCACTGACTGGCATTGATAGGTGGCACTGACTGAAACTGATGGGTGACACTGAAAGGCAGCTCAGATGGGCACTGATATGTGGCATTGATGTGGCACTGATGGGCACTGAAATGTGGCACTGATGGGCACTGGCAGGTGGCATGAATGAGCACTGACAGCTGGCACTGATGGACACTGACAGGTGGCACTGCTGGGGCTACACAGATCATCAGGGCATACTGATCATCAGTGCTCTGATGATCTGTGTACATGCCCCTCTGAGGAATGCCAATTAAAGACTCTCTCTCCTCTCGAGCTGTCAGCGTGACAGCTCGTGAGGAGAGAAATGCCGATAACCCGGCATTTCCCTGTTTACATGTGATCAGCTGTGATTGGACACAGCTGATCACATGACCGAGACGACACCTTCGGCTCTTTCCGTTGATCGGTGATCCGCTGTGTCCGAGGGACACAGCGCATCGCCGATCGCCACGCTGCTCACTCCGGGAGCCACGCATTCGCGGTTAGAATGGGAGGACGTCATATGACGTCCTCCCAGACCGAGAGAACTTGCGCCCGTCATTGTACTATATGGAAGGCGGTTAATGTGACCTATAAACTGTACAACCCAGTTGATCAACAAACTGAAATCTTTTAGGTGGAGGGAAGTAAACATAAAAAAAACTAAAATAATAGGATGGTTGCATAAGTGTGCACACCCTTAAACTATTACTTTGTTGAAGCACCTTTTTATTTTATTCCAGCACTTGGCAATATTTACCCACTCTTTCATGCGAAAACACTCCAAATCTGTCAGATTGCGAGGGCATCTCCTGTGCACAGCCCTCTTCAGATCACCCCGCAGATTTTCCATCAGATTCAGGTCTGAGCTCTGGCTGGGCCATTCCAAAACTTTCATCTTCTGGTGAAGGCATTCCTTTGTTGATTTGAATGTATGCTTTGGGTCGATGTCATGCTGAAAGATGAAGTTCCTCTTCATGTTCAGCTTTCTAGCAGAAGTCTGAAGGTTTTATGCCAATATTGACTGGTATTTGAAACTGTTCATAATTCCCTCTACCTTGACTAAGCCCCCAGTTCCAGCTGAAGGCAAACAGCCGCAAAGCATGATGCTGCCACCACCATGCTTCACTGTGGGTATGGTGGTCTTTTGGTGATGTGCAGTGTTGTTTTTGTGCCAAACATTATTATGGCAAATTATGGCCAACAAGTTCAACCTTGGTTTCATCAGACCATAACACATTTTCCCACATGCTTTTGAGAGACTTCATATGTGTTTTTGCAAAAATGTATCCGGGCTTGGATGTTCTTCTTAAGAAAAGGCTTCCGTCTTGCCACTCTACCGCATAGCCAACACATATGAAGAATACGGGAGATTGTTGTCACATGTACCACACAGCCAGTACTTGCCAGATATTCCTGTAGCTCCATTAATGTTGCTGTAGGCCTCTTGACAGCCTCCCATGCCATTTTTCTTCTCGTTTTTTCATCAATTTTGGAGGGACGTCCAGTTCTTGGTAATGTCACTGTTGCACCGTATTTTGTCCACTTGATGATGACTGTCTTCACTGTGTTCCATGGTATATCTAATGCCTTGGAAATTCTTTTGTCCTCTGTTGACTAATACCTTTTAACAGTGAGATCCCTCTTATGCTTTGAAAGCTCTCTGTGGACCACGGCTTATGCTGTAGGATGTGACTAAGAAAATGTCAGGAAAGTCCTACTAGAACAGCTGAACTTTATTTGGGGTTCATCAGAGGCACTTTAAATGATGGCAGGTGTGTACTGACTCCTATATAACATGATTTTGAATATGATTGCTTAATTCTGAACACAGCTACATCCACAATTATAAGAGGTTGTGAACACTTATGCAACCACATTATTTTAGTTTTTATGTTTTTTCAGTGTGTTTTTCAATTGAATTGTACAGTTTATAGGTCACATTAAAGGTGGAAAAAGTTCTGAAATGATTTATCTTTGTCTCATTTTTTTTACATCACAGGGGTATGTAGACTTTTTATATCCACTGTAATTGTAAAAGTAGAATGAATATCTAGAGATGTCCTTGATGCCTTCCTTTTTCTTAGTTTGTTCTACTTCAAACCCAATCTGTCCGGACAGAATAGTCACCTGTTGACTTGGCACCATCCACAGGCAGTTTAGCTCTTCAATATGACACACAGGTTGAATCCAACACAATTTTACTTCAGCTAATTGCAGTACAGAGGATGTTTTTATAGACTTTTTAAGTGTAAGAAGACAATAACTTTCCTAAGCCCTGTCACTGCAAAGTAATAACACCGACTGAGGGCACATGGAAGAAACAGGGAGGGCCTAGCTAGAACTGAACTAAAGAGCACTAAACATGAGGGGGGGACAGAGGTAGATACCAAAACACACAGTAAACAATCTGTAGTGGCACAAAACCACCACTAAATATCAACGTACTATGGAACAAAAAAAACATCGCCCTACGTGAAGAGGGCCAAACGGTGACCATAGACAGTTTGGATGGCTGTCCATTAATCATGAATTTTCTTCAACTAGCTGGCTGAGCCAAAGACAAAAATGACATGATTCCCCCATCCGCACGTTCGAGTTGGATGAGGGAATTACTCCCGCTGTGCTATTGTATTCTGATTACAGGGAGCCTTCCTGGCTATCAGAATACACTGATCAGTGCTGCTGGCTATAGACCGGCTATAATTATAGCCGGCAGCACTGATCTTACAGAAAAAAACCTGGATGGCATATTGTATACAAGTAGATCAATAGACTGTGTTCTGTACATCCAGCCTGTCCATAAATGGATTCAAATTCAGCCGATCCCTGCTGAACTGTGGGCCTGAATGATAACTACTGATAGATCTCACTATCCATAGAAAATGGGGTGGATGGAGGAATCACCCCACCGGTAAATTGTATTCTGAAAGTGGGACTACAATGCACACGTCTCCGGTCCTGCTACTGGCTGCCTAGGCAGAGAGGGCTGCATTGAAAGCTGACATCTGAGATAAGAAAATATTGTCTAAATAAAAAAGAGATATGCACCAATGCATGTAATTCAGAATGAATGGCTCTGCATCGCATCAATGTATGTATTATTGAAAGAATGGCACTGCATACCAACAATGTATGTAATTCAGAATGAATGGCTCTGCATCGCATCAATGTATGTATTATTGAAAGAATGGCACTGCATACCAACAATGTATGTAATTCAGAATGAATGGCTCTGCATCGCATCAATGTATGTATTATTGAAAGAATGGCACTGCATACCAACAATGTATGTAATTCAGAATGAATGGCTCTGCATCGCATCAATGTATGTATTATTGAAAGAATGGCACTGCATACCAACAATGTATGTAATTCAGAATGAATGGCTCTGCATCGCATCAATGTATGTATTATTGAAAGAATGGCGTTGCATAGCAACAATGTATGTAATTCAGAATGAATGGCTCTGCATCACATAAATGTATGTATTATAGAAAGAAAGGCACTGCATAGCAGCAGTGTATGTAATTCAGAATGAATGGCACTTCATAGCACCATTGTATGTAATTCAGAATGAATGGCACTTCATAGCACCATTGTATGTAATTCAGAATGAATGGCACTTCTTAGCTCCAATGTATGTCATTCAGAATAAATGGCACCGTATAGCACCAATGCATGTAATTCAGAATGAATGACTCTGCATCGCATCAATGTATGTATTATAGAAAGAATGACACTGCATTGCACCAATGTATGTAATTCAGAATGAATGGCACTGCATAGCTCCAATGTATGGAATTCAGGATGAATGGCACTGCATTGCACCAATGTATGTAATTCAGAATGAATGGCTCTGCATTGCATCAATGTATGTATTATAGAAAGAATGACACTGCATTGCACCAATGTATGTAATTCCGGATGAATGGCACCGCATAGCTCCAATGTATGTAATTCAGGATGAATGGCACCACATAGCTCCAATGTATGTAATTCAGGATGAATGGTACCGCATAGCTCCAATGTATGTAATTCAGGATGAATGGCACCTCATAGCTCCAATGTATGTAATTCAGGATGAATGGCACCGCATTGCACCAATGTATGTAATTCACACTGAATAACACTGCATAGCTCCAATGTATGTAATTCTAGATTAATGGCACCGCATAGCTCCAATGTATGTAATTCAGGATGAATGGCACCGCATAGCTCCAATGTATGTAATTCAGGATGAATGGCACCGCATAGCTCCAATGTATGTAATTCAGGATGAATGGCACCGCATAGCTCCAATGTATGTAATTTCAGATGAATGGCACCGCCTAGCTCCGATGTATGTAATTCAGGATGAATGGCACCGCATAGCTCCAATGTATGTAATTCAGGATGAATGGCACCGCCTAGCTCCGATGTATGTAATTCAGAATGAATGGCACCGCATAGCTCCAATGTATGTAATTTAGAATGAATGGCACCGCATAGCTCCAATGTATGTAATTCAGAATGAATGGCACCGCATAGCTCCAATGTATGTAATTCAGAATGAATGGCACCGCATAGCTCCAGTGTATGTAATTCAGAATGAATGGCACCGCATAGCTCCAATGTATGTAATTCAGGATGAATGGCACCGCATAGCTCCAATGTATGTAATTCAGAATGAATGGTACCGCATAGCACCAATGTATGTAATTCAGAATGAATGGCACTGCATAGCACCAATGTATGTAATTTAGAATGAATGGCACCGCATAGCTCCAATGTGTGTAATTCAGGATGAATGGCACCGCATAGCTCCAATGTATGTAATTCAGGATGAATGGCACCGCATAGCTCCAATGTATGTAATTCAGGATGAATGGCACTGCATAGCTCCAATGTATGTAATTCAGGATGAATGGCACTGCATAGCTCCAATGTATGTAATTCAGGATGAATGGCACCGCCTAGCTCCGATGTATGTAATTCAGGATGAATGGTACCGCATAGCTCCAATGTATGTAATTTAGAATGAATGGCACCGCATAGCTCCAATGTATGTAATTCAGAATGAATGGCACCGCATAGCTCCAATGTGTGTAATTCAGAATGAATGGCACCGCATAGCTCCAGTGTATGTAATTCAGAATGAATGGCACCGCATAGCTCCAATGTATGTAATTCAGAATGAATTGCACTGCCTAGCTCCAATGTATGTAATTCCGGATGAATGGCACCGCATAGCTCCAATGTATGTAATTCAGGATGAATGGCACCGCATAGCTCCAATGTATGTAATTCAGAATGAATGGTACCCGCATAGCACCAATGTATGTAATTCAGAATGAATGGCACTGCATAGCACCAATGTATGTAATTTAGAATGAATGGCACTGCA